TAATAATATAATTCATGAATTACAAATACTTCTTAAGTACAGTCCTTTTATTTTAATGATTATGTCCTGCTGGAGTGACATGATTTGTTTGTGTACAAAATAATACGGTATCAGAATTTTCAATATTTATACTTCTCATTCAACCACAGTTAAATTCACTCTATCTAGGAGGCTCAGTTTATATGGATAGTTTTTATTTTTAACAACAACAAGCTGCAATGAAAATAAGCAAAAATTAAAGTAACAACTTTCTACTTCTTGTCTTTTTAAAAAATGTAAGAAGTAAAAAGTAGGCTGAAAAACAATTACTCAAGTAGAGTTACAGATACCCAATAATTCTACTTAAGTACAGTAACAAAGTATTTGTACTTAGTTATTTTACAACTCTGACAGTAAGTCAAACATATGTCTGTTAGAGAGAAATTTTAAAATGAAATGTTCAGAGTATTGGTTCATCTTTAACTGAACTTTTGGAATTGACCACTAAACGACTTTAGCAAACAAAACAAAAACATAAACCCAGAGTTTGGTTGTGGTTGAAGCTGAGCATTGTTAGATTTGACCAAACTGTCATTTTTCAACACAGAAAGGTGATTTTAGGTTAAGATTTTGGTGTGAAAAGTGTCAGGTGATGGTTCACAGTGCATCAGGTCTTCAAATATTTAAAGTTTTTAAAATAAAGTCTTCATATCAGACAAATAAGTTTACCATAAAAGGCAAAAACCATTTAAAACAGTTGTACACCCATGAAGTTAACTGTGAGTAAATGAAATTTGACATTTGTGAGTCTTAAATCTGAAATTAAGTTTCTGTGACCGTACAGAGCTCAGTTAAAGTGTGAATTATGTTCTGAGGTCATGTTATAAACACTGAAACTCGAGCTGTTAATAACAGAAAGTGTGAGTCACTTTCTTCTCGTCCCGAGGCCGTGACCTCCTGGGAAAAAGTCCTTCGCTTCAGCAGGAAAGGAAGCCGCTCAGGAAATGAGTCTTCATCCTTGTCTGGGCAGAGAACGAGAGGAATGCAGAGCTCACTTGAACCTGAGCTATAAATATCCCCACTTGAACCCTGGCTCCTCTCTGCATGAAGCATTCTGTCAATAATATGTTTCTATTTATCAGATAATCAGTTTTTTTAAATCACTCATTTTTTTCTTGGTTGTATCTTCAGGTTCGGCTCAGCTCCCTGCAGGAACAACCTGAGAGGAGGAGGGAGGTGATCCTGATAACAAAAAGGTGAGAGATTTTAAAATAAAAAGGCAGGAGGAGGTAAGAGATGAGCTGAAATTAAACTCAGAAGWGAAGAAGTGTGAAAGTTGAACTGGGTGAAAACCGGGGAGAGAGATGAAAAGAAAAGATGAGGTGAGGAGAAGACAACGGCGATAAAAAGTAAATGAAATGAGAACACCTCTGGGAAGTGAGATGAAACCGACGCTCAGAGCTGCTGTTCTTTTATTAAAATCCACAGGAGAGCCACGTTTGATTCGATGATTTCTGCCATTTGATTGATTTACTGTAGAATCGATCTGTTGTTCTGTAAGTTCTTGATTTTTGTGTTCGGTCCACCTCGAGTGAATTCTGTTTCAGAGGTTCTTAACTCGACAGGTAACAAATAAAATGAACTTTACCAACTTTTGTTATAAGACAACTGCAGGAACTGTATTTATGACTCTCCTCTGCAGTTCTTGCACAGTCCTGAAGTATAAAATCAGTTTTGTAGTGTTTTTCAGGTCTTGTTAAGCATCTGAACGATGCAGTTAAGAAAAACCTTGTGATCCTTGAGGAAATTAGAATCTCTGCTGCCTTGCGTGTTAAACTTCTGAATAGAAATCTGTTATGTTAGTGACTCCCAGCTACTACAATACTTACTTGTAGCTTAATAATTGTAAAACTGGCTGAGTTTCTGTCTCCAATTTAGTCAAATAAATTTGACTAAATTAAAATTGGAAAGGTTTGGGACACCTGCAACAAAATACAGACGGGTTCAATGTTCCTGCAAGAAAACATGAAACAGTTTGAAACAAGTTTGACATGGGTTTGAATTGCTTGTGACATAATGAAGGATTGAGGCACCTGCAACAAAACTGAGACTGGTTTGGGACACCTGCAACAAAACTGAGACTGGTTTGGGACACCTGCAACAAAATTGAGACTGGTTTGGGGCACCTGCATCAAAACAGACAGTTTTGGGACAACTGCAACTAAATTGAGACTGGTTTGCGACAACTGCAACAAAATTGAGACCGGTTTGCGACAACTGCAACAAAATTGAGACTGGTTTGCGACAACTGCAACAAAATTGAGACCGGTTTGCGACAACTGCAACAAAATTGAGACTGGTTTGGGACAACTGCAACAAAATTGAGACCGGTTTGCGACAACTGCAACAAAATTGAGACCGGTTTGCGACAACTGCAACAAAATTGAGACTGGTTTGGGACACCTGCAACAAAACTATGATGCCTTTGGGACACCTGCAACAAAATTGAGACCTGTTTGGGACACCTGCAACAAAACTGAGACCTGTTTGGGACACCTGCAACAAAACTGAGACCTGTTTGGGACACCTGCAACAAAATTGAGACCTGTTTGGGACACTGCAACAAAAACTGAGACAGGTTTGAGACACCTGCAACCAAATGGAAACAGGTTCAAGATTTCTGTAACAACAAACAGAAAACTGAAACAAGCTTGACGTGGGTTTGAATTGCTTTAAAGAAAATTGGGACAGGCTTGAGACTTTTGCAACAAAATTAAGACAGGTTTGTGATGCCTGCAATAAAACTGAGAAGTACCTGAGATGTGTTCAAGACACTGGCAACAATATTGTGAAAGGTTTGAAATATGTATGTTAGATGCCAGCAACAAAACTGGAAAAGGTTTTTGACACTCGGGACCAAATAAAGAAGGGTTTCTCAGCGCTGTTTGCCAGCTAGTTGCCAACAGTGAGATAATAACTTAAAGATTCACCAAATCAATATTGCTCCTGATTAGTTCCCACTAAACCTACACAATCCTCCAGAGAATTAGGTTGTTTTTGTTATTTTCCAGTGCTTTGTAGATCATTATTTCTGGTTTAAAAACCAATAACTCTTGTCCCTCAAGTAAATTTAGTAAATGTCCATTTACATTTATACGTTTTTATGGTATATTAGGCATCTATAACTACTAAGAGTGAAATAAAACAGAACTGTAACAAAAAGACAGACAGAAGGGTAACTTTTTCATCCAGCTGAACTCAGTAATTGGATTTTGAGTTTGTGCTGTGTGAGAACAAGAGAAAAACCTCCTGTTCCACCTTTCAGGACTATAGATCAGATAGAGACCAAAGAAAATGGCCGAATCCTTCTCTCCTCCTCCCAATGGGTTGGTCAACTCGCACAGTTGAAAAGTTCAACCCATCTTTCTCTCCCTCTCACACACGCTCGGTCAATACACACCCAGCAATATTTACAGCCAGGGTGTTTTTTATTACAAAGCAGCTGCATAGTGAAGATGCTAAAAGATTTGCTGGTCGCAAAATTAGAAAAACAACAACTTTGTGCTGCAGAACTTAAAACCAGAAAGTTCTGATGCCACTTGTACAATAAAATACAGTTCATTTAATGGGATTTAGCCGTTTCTCATGGCAGCAGGTGATGAAAAGTTAATGTGGGAAAAGTTGTGAAGAAAAAGAATCGTCAATCGTTTTTGGCCTCAACAAATGAATAGAATCAAAACTGTACAAATTAAATCAACAAGGTTTCAAAGAAGAAAAACATTAGTTTTATTTTAAAAATAGACCAAATTTTACTTAAAATTTGAGTCTCATTTCATTATGAAATATCTCTAAACAACCTCTTTACTGTCTGAAACTAAACTCTACAGCTGCTTCCCGCCAGACTCTATGTAAAAATTGACTAATTTAAAGAAAACCAACCAAACAAAAGTTTAACAAGTAAAACTCAAAACAGAGACGACTGAATAAGGTTTTGTTCAGATAAAGTTCATCTTCTGGATTTCTTTTTTAAAGGTTTGAAAAGAAACGTTCGTTTCTCTGCCATCTGCTGCTCCCGTCGTCCCTGTTTCCACTTTCCCTGATAACAAACCAGGATTTTATTTATATATTTTTTTGTTYCTCCTCACCTCACTGGCTGCAGCCCTTTTGACTTATCTCACTTGTTTCTGCTTCTCTGTTCTCCGCTCAGAGGCTTTATCTCTTTGCCAGKTTTTTTTATACATGTTCACAGATTCAAAATCCATCCAACAAGTTTTGTAGAAAACTGACGAAAATGGCTTTAAATCTGTAGGTTTTACAGATATTTAAATGATGGTGTAGTAGTACATAAACTCAACAATTTAAACKCTTCAACTCTCTAAATTAAATAATACACGCCACATTTAGTTCCTGGATCTGCAGTCATTTCTCATCTACAACATAACATTTTTAATAAACAATACTAACAGGCTTGGAAATATATATGTTTTTTAATATAACTGGGTKGATCAGTTACGTAAAACCTGATAAATACAGTGGTTATGTAACTAAATGATTTAATTATCTGTAGCAAGCAGATAAAGAGAAAATCTAGTTTGTTCCTGTATTAATATTAGTGCATATTGAAGGTAAGACTTGGATAAAGTTTTTTAATGACACAATATATGAAATCCTCAGCAGGAAAACCAATATCCAGCTGTTATCTGCTGCAAAGGTTASAGGAGAAACGAAGGAGAAACTTTATATTAAAAGACCCTGTGGCACTTTGAGTCCRTCTCATTTTATATTCCATCTGAAATCTTCTCAATAATGCAAGGCTGACTTCTGCTTACTAAAGAGATCTGTGCCTCTGCTTCTCTCAGATTACTGTGGCAACTTAGGAATAAATAAAGTTTGCTACAAAAATCCATTTAACCACAGTTTCGCACACATTACTGTCATTTATATTTAAAGAAAACTGTTAAATTGGTGTTGAATGAGCAAAAAATAAAACTTAATCCACATTTAGCTCGTTTTGAAAAATTCAAGAGGTAAATAAAATTAAGGAGATTTCTTCATTAAATGAATAAAACTAGCATTTCTTAAATTTAAGAGGGTCAGTTTGAGTTCTTGATTTCTATTGGTCTGGAATGATGTCATCAAAAAGTTCCAGCTCTACATTTTAAAAGTGAACAAAGAGATTTCCCAGCTGCTGGTGTTTCTTCCACTTATAAACAGGCATGGACTGTGACTACCCTGGTGGCTCAGAGGCATAACAGCAGCCGGTTAACTTTAACTCGTTTGGTTTTTAGCCACATCAAAGGAAAAATGAGAAGCAGRTTTTTAGGTAGGATTTAGGAAGAAGGCATTGACACTTTAAGCCAGTCAGGCCCCAAACCTGCTTACGAAACCTACGGACGTTTATGAAATTTACGTAGGAAAAAAGTTAAGAACAGACAAGGTTGGGAATTGTGACAACACACAGCAGCTTTTGAAGCTGTAAAATCACCACAAACCTCCTCTATCCAAGCAGACACAATTGTGTCTTCCTCTGGCTTTGTGAAATAACGATCACCGTCACACGGCTTACGAAGTTTACAAAATTTACGTAAAGTTACGGACAAACGGGGAGTGGATATTGTGACAACACACAACAGCTTCCGAAGCTGTAAAATCACCACAAACCTCCTCTATCCAAGCCGACACAACTTATTCTTTGTGTGTCTTCCTCTGGCTTTGTAAAATAATTGCGGTCACCTGCACACTTCTTTCGAAGTTTATGAAATTTACGTGAGGAAAATAAACACTCTTGGCTATCCTGAAGATTGGCACGGTGTCCTGAGGCGTTGCCACCTGATAGGTGTTCGACAACTCTAGCCTAATGCCTGAAGAAGTATTTTGTGAACGAGGATGTAAAATTTGAACTATCTGTTCACAAACCCTGACCTTTTTTTTGATCAAGGTCTTTTTATTAACTTTTTTTAACAAACCACATAAAAGAACAGACTTAGAAAAACACAAAACAAAACACACACACCCAAAATCCCTCCCATCCATCCTCTCCTATTCCAGATCCACTGAAACAACAAAAATCGATCTTGTATTCATACAAGTGATACAATGAACAGGTTTGTGTATAATGAAACAATATTTAACCTTTACACAAAATGATCTGCCGAAATTTTTTCTCGCCGTAACTGATTTCCTCTCTAGATTTACCCAAGTAGGAACAGGGTCGTCGTCTCTCAACCAGTACAGTAAGGCTCTAATGTTGGCCGCC